CCAAATTAATCAGCAAAGTGACTCCATAAGATCAGTTTCAGTAAACATAACAAGAGGTAATCTAATAATACAGAAACAGAACACTTATCCCAGGAGCCCAGTTATTCCAATGGCAAGGAAAGTGGGAAGATTGGAGCTCCTCAAGACCAAGGCACCTCAATATTAACCTCATTTTGTTTAGAAGTCTCAACCTCAAGGGATGGGGATGAGGGATGACAAAGGAGCTGACTGTTGAGAAACAAGCCTCAGACATTGAAAGCTAATCAAGTTCAGGAGAACCAGAAATAATCTCCAGACCATGGGGACAACAGGAGAGGTTTCGGACCAGCAAGACCACATAAGCCACAGTCTAATCCAGAAAAGACAGAATCTCAGTTTGACAGCAGGAGAAAGTATACCCCAATATCAACAGCATTGGAGCCAGGGTTACAGGAAGGAACAGGGTACCGCCCAAGCTTCCAGCAACTATGGAGGACTCCCATTACCTGCAAGCTGCTACCACACTCATGCAGGTCATAGTCAAAGAGGACAGTGTGGTTCTCAGGGTCAATCCTGGTTGGCCGACAACCTGCTGTCCCCAGGGTCAGGTCAGCAGCTTTAATCAGGTGCCTGGTTCCAAATAAATCCAACTGTGCCCTGACCAGCAGGTTGTGCTCTCCACACTGTACCATCACAGTCTGCAGTGGAGACACACTCCCACCCTCAGACATTCTGAAACTGGAACCAATGGGACTCCCATGAGGAGGGACTCTCTCAAGCAGAGGGGTGGCTCTCACTATTCTCCATGGAAACCTCTGGCTCAGTAGCTGTTGCCAAGTTTCAGAGCAACAAACAGCTCCAACTAACACCAGCACAGGAAACAAACCTCTCACTACAAAATCCCCCATGATCCCAAACAACTCAACCATCCCTACCAAGCCCCACCCAGCTCCTTTTATACACCCAACCTGCACTAACCTGATACCAATCAGACCAGAAGCAGCAACATTGAACCAATGAACCAGCCCCAATCTCTACAATTTCCACCAATGTCTAAATCCATTGGCTTCTTACCAGGACCGCCTTTTTTATTTGGACCAATAGGAATGGCTGGCAGTTGCGGTGCTGTCACGTGACTGCTTTCGGCTCCACAAGTTCTCATGGTGATGGCCCCCTGTGTACAATAGAGTCATGGAGTCTTCTGGCACAGAGACAGGCCCTTTGTCCCAGACTGCTGCACGCTGACCAAAATGTCCATCCATGCTAATCTCATTTCCCTGTTCCAGTCCCCTGTCTTTCTAAACCTTTCCTATCCATGTATTTGTCCCAATGCCTATTAAACGTTGTTAATGTACCCACCTCAAACACTTCTGCTGCCAACTTACGCCATGTGCGTACCACTCTCAGGGTGAACAGTTTCCCAACAGGTTCCCATGTATTGACACGACTCTCATGAGCTGATACACTTCAAGGAGATCCCCTCTCAGTCTCCTACGCTCTAAAGAAATTAGTCCGAGCTTGTCCAACCTCTACCTCTAAGTCAGGCCAACATTTTCACCTTTTCCAATTTAATAGGATTGCTCCTGTCGCAAGGTGAACAAAACAGAACACGATACTCCAAGCGGAGATACAGAGCCTGTTTTATTGAGCATCTGCACTCTACTGGTGACAAACACCTTGCCACAAGCTGGAGGAGCAGCACCTCATGTTCCGCCTCAGAAGCCAACAGCCCGATGGCCTAAATGTGGATCTTATCAGTTTTAAAATCTCCCCACCTCATCTCGTGACCAAACCTCCCTCTCATCTCCACCTCCTTGACCTGATACAACCTGTCCTTCTTCTCTCCCACTTATCTGCGCCTCCCACCTCACTGACTAATCCCCACCACCCTCTACCTGCACTCACCTATTACCATCCCACCTCCATCCCCTCGTCCCACCCCTCCTCTCTCTATTAACTTCTGAGCTCCCTTCCCCCTCTCCCTTTTCTGAAGAAGGGTCCCGACCTGAAACGTCAACTTTCCTGCTCCTCTGATGCTGCTTGGCCTGCTGTGTTCCTCCACACTTTGTCATGCCGATACTCCAAATGCATCCTACACATCTACAACATAACTTCCCAACTTCGATACTCAATGCCCTGACTGATGAAAGCCAGCGTGTCAAACGCCATCTTCACTGCCCTGTCGACCTGTCCCTCAGCTTTCAGAGAACTGTGCACCTGAGCTCCAAGGTCCCTCTGTTCCACTACACTCCTCACAGCCCTACCGTTCACCATGAAATTCCTACCCTGATTTCACTTTCCAAATGCAACACCTCACACTTATCTACAATCAAATCCATTTGCCATTTATCAGCCCACTTCCCCAGCTGATCAAGATCATGCTGCAATTTCTGAAAACTTTCCTCACTATCCACAATACTGTCCATATTATTGTCATCCGCAAACTGCCTAATCATGCCTTGTACATTCTCATCCAAAACATTGATATCAATAACAAACAGCCATGAGCCCAGCACTGACCCCTGAGGCACACCACGAGTCACAGGCCTCCAGTCCAACAAGCATCCTTCCACTATTACTCTCTGCTTCCT